ATATGAATTAATATAACTAGTTAAATCCTAATTAATCAAATCCTTTAAAAAATTGCTTTTTTTGCATGATTTTCGTGAATGATAATGAAAAAAAATTAAAAATGATTATGTTTAGAATTCTCATTTAAGATTTGTATATTCAAATTATGTTTGCAAAACAAAAAATAAAAATGTATTACGTAAAGCATAGATATATTTTTAAAAGGAAATAAAAGGAAATGCAAAGTATATCTTAGAGATTGATAAAACATAATAATAAAATATAAAAATTTTCAAATATCTTATTATATTATCATATAATAATATTATATATATTATATATTAAAAATAATTAAAAAAGATAAATTTTTAAAAATTTAATATTTATTATCTTATATGTTTGATTTCCAAAATTAATAAATAAATTAAAAAAAGATAAATTTTAAAAATTTAAAATATTTAATTATCTATATGTATTGATTTCAAAATTAATTTTAATAAATTATATATAATCAATCATCTAAAATTTAATTTTCTAATTCATCGTTATGAAAGTTTTTTTAGGATATTCAAAGTTCATTAAGGACGCTGTAAAAAATCTTATCATTCCCCCATATTCCTATATTTATATATAGTATAGGCTAGTCTTTCTATGACGTGTATCACACATTGACTATACTCATTATTCATATTCATTCAATTTTAGATATAGCTAATTGATTGGTTATATTTTAGATATAATATTTCATTATTAATAAAATGCATTTATTTATCTTTTATATTCTATTAAATGAATTTCGGGTAAAAGATAAAGTCTATACAATATTGCTTTGTAAAATAAATTATAATTTGGTTACAATTATGATTTTTATTTTGATTAGAACAATATCTCTAAATATTCATGGTCAATATTCTGCTCGTTATTGAACAATGATTAGAGCTATTGAGTCTGATACATATTATATTTTTCTTTCGCGAAAGGAATCAACTGTTCTCATAAGCTGAAATATATGTAATATTTAAAAGTAATATATAAGTACTTGTTATATAAACAAGTCCATTAAATTAACCTACATGAGAATTTCATATAGAGGATTATTTATGTCTAAGGAATACTCAAGTGATGGTTGTGTAAGTGATCCCTTTACTTGAAAGTATTAAGTTATCTTATATAGGAGTAATTATATTTTGATTCTTCATTCACATTATCCATTTATCCATTTATGGATAATAAGCAATGATGAATTGGACATACCAGGAGTTGGAGATTAATAAACTAAATCTTGAAAATATTGAAAATAAAAATTTGGTGAAAAATACATAATGGTACCTCAAATTTCACATGAATACATTGTGCAGTTAAAGTTATAATTTTGGTAATATTTTGTATCTCTCCATATTAGCAGAAATATTTTTTTTAGTATTTTTTATTTTTATACATAAAATATTGATTTATTGTGTAGTTATATATTTTTGAAATTAAAATAATAATGTTCATAATTTTCAATTATTAAATATGTGTTTTAATCTATCTAATTTTACAAATTTGAATATTTAATAAAAAAATTTATAAGTTAAAATATTTAATAAGTGTAATTTTACAAGTTAAAATGTTTAACTTTATAAAAAAAATCAAAGAGTGACAAGATTTTTTACTATAATACTCATCATTAGATTTTGGAAATTACTTGTCTAGACCAGGTCCATAGCTACCCTTATGGACCAAACCAATGACGGTAAGAATTCTTTAAAAAAATGTTTCGACTTTATCCTTTTTTTTCCATTGTATGATTAGAAATACTCTCGTTGTAATAAAAAATCTTATTCTCATTGGTTTGGTCCATGAATGGGCCATAAACCCGGTCTAAGTAAAATTTTACCTTGGATTTTTGGTAAAACTACCGGCGCAGAATGAATTCGAAAGTTTGGAAATCAATTGATGGAAACTATTTCAGTAGGGACGGATCTAAGTAAATTTATTTTAAATGATAAAACCCTCTTTTCTGTTCAACTAAATAAAAATTACCGTTTACATTCTAGGGTTTCTAGATTATGATAATTAACAAAAACAATGGACAGCCAACTCTAGCAAAGGTGCTGGTGATTTTATTTAAAATTCCTGACAATTAATTAAATAAATAACTCAAGCTTTTTTCAAAAAAAAAAAAGTTGAAAATTAGATAAATTAAAAAAGAGTAATTAATTCAAATTTATCCCACAATGTCGCCTGTCTAACCCCTAATAATCTTTTTTTTTTTTGGAAGATAAGCTCTCTTTCTATTTAATATCATATCCTTTGGGTCCATTGATAAGAAACAAATGCATAAGCATGATAGCAAAAGTAACATCAATGGAAAATAATTAATATAATACAGGAAAAGGTGTCCTTTCATTAATTGATTAAGAGGGTAAATTTGTCAACTTAAGAATCAAATACAAATTTTGCCTCAAAATACCAATTGTTCCCTAATATTAAATTCACTTCACGATTCTATTTTTTATTCATTGAGAAAGCAATAAGACGAAATAATAATACTGGCTACAAAATAGAAATAGTCCTTCAATTGACTTATCAAAATACAATATTTTATTTCCTTATCATGGAAACGACCAAAGTAACAAATAAACCAGTTCCCTTTTCTAAATAGCCAGTATATTTTAAGGGCAATCTATTAAACAAATCATCAATTATCTTGTCTCCAAAATGATATGCTAACATGGATTCTGTTCCAGCCCTCATATAGTTTGCTACGTGCTTTCCTCTCTGCCACTTATCAAACACCAAATCATTGTTACCATCTCCAATATTTGCATCCCAACTTAGCTCAAATTCTTCTAGTCTTTTAATGGTGAAGGAACCTTCCGTTTCAATCACATGCCTTACTTCTTCTCCAGAAGGAGAATACACTGGAATATTGAAGCAGTCTAATGCTGATTCTTTAATTAGTCCCTACAAATAATAAAAGTAAACTTAATTAGTATGTTCTTGATTATGTGTAAAATAAAAAACTAGAACTAAATTTTGTTTTTCTTTTTCTTTTTTGGCTATTCATTAAGGCCAAATAAAAAATAGCAGTACGTTAAGTTACTGTTTATTTTCCACATGCAAACCAAATAATCAGAAAAGACAAATAGTAGTGATGGACAGATTGAGATGATTTTCTAAAATAACCTTTAAGGAAAAATGCTCGTTTTACCCTATAAACTTAATAAAATATTTAAATTGTCTAAAAATCAACTTTTTAGTCAATCTCTCCCTTAAATTTGGCTCATACGTCAATTTATTCATTTTTTCATTTAGAATTTGGAGTGACACACACGATCAAACAAAGATAAAATAAAATAATTATTTTTTAATAAAAAATCTAACAAAATAAAGCAGAAGCTTTAAATGCTCATTCCATTGTTGACTTTTTACATTTAAAAGCCTCTATGGGGATGCTTCAAATATTATTGATCTGTTTAGGGTGCGAGATATTCGTGCTATTTTGAATATTCCTTTAGGGATATGATTTGGCACCTACGTACACAAGAAAGAGAAATATTCCTTTAGGGATATGCTTCAAAGGTACTACTTATGTTTGAGAGTGCTTGGAAGGGGGGAATGTTTGGAGTAAGGTATCCACCAAAGTATAAAGAATTTCTTTGGAGAGTTGTTAGGGGATCATTTCTACCAGAGGAAGGCTTTTTTTAAAGGGGTATAAGGGTTAATAAAACCTGCCATTTTTGTGAGAGGGAGAAAGACAGGGAGCACATTTTTTTGAGATATGTAGTAGCCCGGGAAGTTCGGAGAAGAGTTGGCATATTAATCCCTGTTGGCATGAGGTCATAAGTTTTTCGAACCCAGCCCACGTTCTCAAGGCGGTGGCAATTATTTAGAAGATTTGGGATGGCAGAAACAAAGCCATTTGGCAAAATATACAATTCTAGCCGTCTTCTATTCTCCAAGCAGTGCAATGTGTTAGTACTAGACTGGCATCAACACAAGGCAACGTCAACCACGTATATCAGTGGCATGGCTCATGCAAGTAGAAACCAGCTAAGCCACAGACTAACGGTAGGATCGGTCCACCCGTCAAGCTGGCAAATGTTCTGTGATGGAGCTATATTCGACGATATTTATATGGGTGGTTTTGGAGCACTATTGGAGGATGCAGAAGGCAACTTTATGGCAGCAATCTCAGGTTTAATGGACTCACACCAAGACCACTGATTGTGGAAGCATTAGCCTTAAGAGAAAGCCTCCACTGGGTGCAAGACAAGTTCGCGACCCCTGGCTGCATTTTTATTGATTCGCGAAGTCTCGTTCTAGTTTTAAACGCAGTTTATTAAGATTTTTCAGAGTCAGGGACTATTATTAAGGATTACAAGTATTTTTTGAATGTTAGATCTAACATTGTTAGATGGATAGAAAGACGTGCAAATTTAAGGGCTCGTTCTTTAGCTAGGACCTCCTATCTCTATGCTCGTTTCAAAGAGTGAAATACTATTCCAGAGTAATCGTTAGACTTTAATCACTCAAATTAATGAATTCAGGTTTTCCTTTTTTTTTCCTTTTTTTTTTTTGAAAAAAAAAAAAAAAGCCTCTACTGGGGGTTGTCTACAAATTTGGAACAATTTATTTGGCACCTTAAAACTTCTCACCAACTCAGACTCACAGCGAGAAAGATAACAGCTAAGAACCCCCCACCCCCCTTCTCATTTTCTCTTTCACTCTAAAAAGTCAAAAGAATAGTTACAGATGGCAAAATCGACCCGACCCGATGGTATGCACACAATCCGAACCCAATTAAATCCAAACTCAAACAAACAAAAGCGTATCAACTAGAGAAGAGAGTATTGCCTTATTGAGTCACTGTTTTTTCACATGCAAACCAAATAATCAGAAAAGACAAATAGGAGTGATGGAAAGCCTGAGACATACCTCTTGAACCATCTCATAGAGTACCGTTCCGATTAATTGGAAAATTTAAGAACCATATTTGTAACAAGGATTCTTGTTACTCTTTCCAAGGAACGCGAGGACCATACCACCTCCTGCAACCATCTCTACCGCACGTGACCTTAAAAATGCTGTAAAGTCCGTTACAAATTGGTACATATATGCTTCTTGCACACTTGGAGGGCTTGTTTTTGCCATGCAAATATTGCCTTTGTTCAATGGAATACCACTTTCATTGACAAGCCCTTCAGGTACCTGTGGTTTGCATACCAAAAATTTAAGAATTCTTGTTTAATTAATCTTTTCTCCAGTTTAAAATTCGCATTGAAATATATTTTAGAAGTAAATTATTTTTCAGAAATAAAGGAAGCTTAAAACTCTTTCACTTAAATATAGAGTTTAATATATATAACAAGAATAAAAAGAAGTGATCAATGACAAATTAAATTGGCCAGACCGACCTGAGAACACCAATGAAGGCTGTAAGAAGAGTGAACAAAGTGCAAAGAATGTGGTGGAAATAGCCTTCCGTAGAAATTGCCTGCCATTGCTGCTATAAAACAATGCTCAAACTTGCTTCCTTTTTCTTTCTTCAGTTTCTGTTCAAAAATGGGCTTGCTTCCTTTTTCTTTCTTCAGTTTCTGTTCAAAAATGGGCACAATAGACCTGAAGATGGTGTTAAAATCATTCCCTGGACGATCGTTTAAGAAAACCTGCATAATGGGTGATTTTTTATTCAATTGTTTACAAGTAGAGTCTATTGTTTCTATAACTTCCCAAAGTGGCAATAGTGCATTTGGTCCTGAAGAACATCCCATTTCTGCCATTGTTATACACTCTGGCAAGCTTTGTCTACATAGCTCTGCTATGCTTTCTTCTAATATTGGCTTTGCTATCAATATGCCTTTCTTCTGCATTAAAAGAGAGGAAAAAGTTAGTTTCTTGCTAAAAAAATAGAAAATTTATAACATATACTTAGAAAAGGACAGAGGGAGACTTGAATGAATGAGTTATTGTAGTAGCTCATTTCCCCTTCTCCTCCATTCATGTGAAGAACTTGTGAAACCTCCATGGCAGCCTATCAGATATAATTAACTTGATCAGTATACAAGGCTATTCTGGGTGGCTTCATATGTTATTCATAACCTATTTATAGAAAAGACGGTACCGACGAATCCAATAAACCAAATTAATAAAAAATAATTTTGAATTAAATGGAAATATTTCTGACTATAACTGAAAAGAAGGATAATACACATTCGCACTTATTTTAGCCCATAATAAGTTTATAGGTTAACATTTTCCTTCTGCAGTAAAGTTCCAATTTGTGTTTGGACTGAACTTATGGTTAAAAAATTAAACTTGTTATGTTCATCCAAAAATTAATCTCAGACTTACAATCATCCAAACAATTCCTTTTGACTGATGAGTAAATAAAGTATATAGTTAAGATAATTATATTGTTAAGAAGTAATTAATAGAAGTAAGAAGTATAAAGTCTTACCTAATTATAATTATGTTGATTAATGTATTTGCATCTTGTTTATAAGTCAATTTCTAATTGTATTAATAATTATTATTCTTAATTCAATTGATAATTGCCATCTACTTTTTTTTTTTTCATTGGGAAGTCTGATGAGCTGAAATAATATTATGGACTATACAACATGCACATATGTGTTAGAGATAACTCGAATTTAAAACTTCTCATCCCTCATATGAGTGAGAAAACCATAGCTGATTGGGAATTGTCCTCTACTTGTAACAATAATAAATCTATAATGATATTTTTGTCCATCCAATTATTATTTTTTTTCGTTTTTATATATTATAATAATAGATTATTATAGGCATAAAAGTCAACTTAAAAGTAACTTCTCATTAATATTATCAATATAGTTTTTTCCAACCTTATAGTTTTTTCCAAACGATAATTGAATGGCTAATTACTCTCTAAGTCACTTTTTAGGACAATTTTTTCAAGTCCACCATATTTAAAGAAGAGATTTTTTTTTTTTTTTGTTGTTTTTTTTTGTGGTAGGGCCTAATATTACTATATACACACATTATTCAGTCTTCACGTAAACACCAACATTATCTATTAATGCTATAGCCAAATTTTTATCTTTATCTTTATCTTCTTTTTTCCCCTTGAAGTTTACAATTTATTGTAACTGAATGAAAAAATTACTATTTGATCCTTATAATTTATTGAAATTACTATTGAGTCCTTGACTTTTGAACATTTTATGAAGACATCCTTGTGGTTTAGAATCATCTAAAAATTTAGTTATTATATTATTATTGGCCTGTTCAGCAAAATTAGTCGTTAAGTAGCTGTTAGCTGTTCAATAACTGTTAACTATTAGATATTAGCTGTTAGTTGTTAACTGTTCATATAACTGTTTGGAACAAAAGTATTCGATGAAAAATAATTGTTTCATTAACTGTTGAATTTAAAATGACAAAACATGACATTTGAATATTGAGTTAGAATTTTAAGTTATGACTATAGAAGTAAACTCAATATAATAAAAAAAAAAGATGATTATGTGATGTGTTATTAATTTTTTATTAAAAGAATGTCAATCTGTAGTGTATAGTCCACCTATATAAAAGGAAGTATCGTTGCAGTATCATAGCAATCAGATTTTGAATAGTCTAATTACATTTTGATATCTAGCTAATTAAGCAAGAAATTCACGCGGCAATTGAAATAATAAAAAGAGTTTTAAATTAAGGGCAAGACTATCAATAAATTTTCAAAAAAAAATAAAAGTGAAACACTAAATATTAGGCGGGATAACGTTTCATTAAACGCTATGTTATCCATTGAAAATTGTTTTATAAATTACCCCACCGAACGTTGTAATACATCAAAACAGTGTTTTGACGTAGTCAAAACTCTAAACACTTCCTCAAACGCTCTTGTTTTGACGTAGTCAAAACTCTAAACACTTCCTCAAACGCTCTTACCGAACAGAATCTATATATACTAAGCCGCATGGGTAAATTAATAACATGATTTTCCCTTTCAGCCCCTTATATTTTTTTTAATTACAATAATACTTTTTCATTTTAGTCCTTTAATAATTTCTCATTAGACCCCTTATAATTTTCTAATTACAATATTGCTTTTTATTTTAGTCCTTTAATATCTTTATAGTTACAGAGATTTCATTTTGCTACTAATTGATAATTCTAGCTTTACGGCTTCATTTTTAATTATGGTTTTTCACACATAGTAGTGTTTTTTCACTTTTACCCTTTGTTATTTTTGTAATTCATTTACACACTTTTTTTTAATAGTATAAAAATATAACAAACCCCATTTTGATTGAAATGCCATAATAATATTTGTCATTTTTGCCCTTTGATATTTCTTTGATTACATTTATACTTTTTTTTTTTGATAATTGCGTAAAAAGATAGAAAACCCATTTTCATTGACATGGTTCTTGATTATTGGTGGTGGTGGTGGTGAAGGAGTGATGGTGGTATTTTAATTACATTACATTACATATTTACAAACAAATATAAAAATAGAATGGTAATTATATTCGATAAATTTTATTAGTTATATTACCAAACATAGAAATGGAATCTTAATTACATTCCATTCCATTACATTTTTCATTGCATTACATTTTTTATTACATTACATTGCCGATGTTTATCGGCGGTAGCCTATACCTTCTACTTTCTATTATCGCTTTTGCTTAAACTTCTTTTGCTTTTAATCTTCTTTTGTTTTAATAAATCCAAATCTGTTTTTCTTATAATAGATTTATCTATTTGTTTTATTATTATTAGTTGTCTCCATATTTGGAGTATTTTTGTTCATTCTTTGTGAGGGTAGTCCCTTATTTGTGAAGGTTTATTATTAAATAAATTATGATATTTGATTTTAGCTGATTGGAGACTTTAGATCTTAATTCGTAGGTATGGATTTTCAATTGATGAAGTCTGATAGTGCGGTTTGTTCCTCCATTAATGCTATTAATGTATAGCGGGGGAAACTCATCTATATTCGTCATATGTTGCAAATTATTGGAAAAACAATTCAGTTTTGAAAGATTCAGATGAATTATTATTTTGACGTCCAATTCAATTAACAAATTAGTTACTGCTACGAAGACTTATATCTTTTGTTAAAATCAACTTCAAGCGGAAAGATTGAATATTATATTGTTTTAGTTTTAGTTTCATTATTTAAAATGATATGAATTCTTTTATTTCGTTTAAAAGGATATGAATTCTTTTGTTTCATTAAACTCAGACTTACAAAATTGTTAAGAAGTAATTAATAGAAGTAAGAAGTATAAAGTCTTACCTAATTATGTTTGATTAATGTATTTGTATCTTGTTTATATGTCAATTTCTAATTGTATTAATAATTAATATTCTAAATTCAATTGATAATTATCATCTACTTTTATTTTTCTTTTTTTTTTTTCCATTAGGAGGCTTGATGAGCTGCAATGACATTGCGGGCTACACAACATGCGCACTTGTGATATAGAGGACTCGAATTTAAAATTTCTCACTATTTAGATGAGTAAGAAAACTATAGCTGATCGGAAATTGTCCGATACTTGTAACAATAATAAATCTATAATGATATTTTTGTTCATCCAATTATTATTTGTTTTCATTTTTATATATTATAATAATAGATTATTATAGGCATAAATATATTCATGAATCAATAGATTATTATAGGCATAAAAGTCAACTTAAAATTAAACAATAATAAATCTATAATGATATTTTTGTTCATCCAATTATTATTTGTTTTCATTTTTATATATTATAATAATAGATTATTATAGGCATAAAAGTCAACTTAAAAATAACTTCTAATTAATATTATCAATATAGTTTTTTTCCAATAATTGAGATGCTAATTACTTTCTTTAAGTCACTTTTTAGGACAATTTTTTAAGTCCACATATTTAAGAAGATTCTTTTTTTGTGGTACGGCCTAAGTTTTTTTTTTTTTAAGTCACTTTTTAGGACAATTTTTTAAGTCCACATATTCAACCATCACCACATTCAGTCTACGTAACCACCAACATTATCTATAAATGCTATAGCCTCCCCTTCAAGTTTACAATTTATTGTAACAGAATGGAAAAATTACTATCTGATCCTTATAATTTATTGAAATTACTATTGAGTCCTTAACTTTTGAACATTTTATGAAAACATCCTTGTGGTTTAGAATCATTTAACAATTTAGTTATTATATTATTATGGGCATATTCGGCAAGATTAGTTGTTTTAATAGCTATTAGCTGTTTAATAACTGTTAGCTGTTAGATATTAGCGGTTAGTTATTAGTTATTCATATAGTTGTTTAGAGCAAAAGTATTCGGTGAAAATAATTGTTTGATTAGCTGTTGAATTTAAAATGACAAAACAAGACATTTGAATATTGAGTTAAAATTTTAAGTTATGACTATAGAAGTAAACTTAATATAATAAAAAAGTAGATGATTATGTGATGTGTATTAATTTTTTATCAAAAGAATGTCAATTTATAGTGTATAGTCCAGCTATATAAAAAGAGGTATCGTTGCAATAACATAGCAATCAGGTTTTGAATAGTTTAATTACTTCTTGATATCTAGCTAACTGAGGAAAGAATTCGCGAAGCAATTGAAATAATAAAAAATGTTTTAAATTAAGGGCAAGATTGTCAATACATTTGAAAAAAAAAAAAGCGAAACAACTAAATATTAGGCGGGATAACATTTCACTAAATACTATGTTATCTACTGAAAGTTGTTTTATAAACTACCTCACTGAATTTTATAATAAATCAAAACAATGTTTTCATTTAGTCAAAATTCTAAACACTCCCTCAAACGCTTTTGCCGAACAAAACCTATATATACTAAGCCGCATGGGTAAATTAATAACAGTGATTTTCCCTTTCAGCCTCTTATATTTTTTTAATTACAATATTACTTATTCATTTTAGTCCTTTAATAATTTCTCATTCAACCCCTTATATTTTTTATTACAGTGATGTTATTTTGCTACTACTTTACAATTAAACCTTTATGGCTTCAACTTGTATAATATTATCCTTTGACTATTCAACAATTTATTTGTATTAAAGTAAAAAATATATGAGATCTA